CACCTTCTCTCTTTCCCCTCCGTGGCACCCTTGAAGGACATATGGTCCAGGGGTATTCAGTTGGAGAAGGGACACAATCACATTTGACTGTGATGCAGTCCAGAAACTTATTGTGCTAAACCCTGGAGATTTCAGTGCCTGTCTGTGGGACAGTTGGCATCTGCCCCACCACATACATGTTGTTAGGCTGAAGGTAAAGATCTAAAGATCAAGTACCATATTAGCATTTATGTGGAAGCTGAAATCAAGGAGTGATAAGGAGGTATCATAAGGAACTTACAAAAAGTTAAAACACTGGAAGACTGAGTATAAATGCACAACCTCCCACATTTAGAGGCCAAGTGGAAAAATATTGAGAAGGGAAAGCAGAGAAGGAAAGACAGTAAAATTGCAGAAGCTAGGGAAAAGTGGTTTAAAAGGAGTTGAGTTTTAACTTTATTAGATCCCCTTAAGAAAGCAAAAAAATTTAAGATAGAAAGTCCATTTGATTTGACAACTTTGGAAACAGCAATGAGAATATTTTTCAGGAAGTGCTAATGATGGCTGTCCATCATGTAGTGGAGGCTGAAACGCAGAGGGAAGTGAGAAAATGCAGGGAGCAAGCATTCATCCTCCTTAGAGAAGCTAGACTCTGAAAGGAAGGAGGATTGCCTGGACCTCCCACATGGAGAAGCTAAGAGGATCTGAACTTACCTCGTATCTCCACAGTCCACCAATGTCATTGCTTCTTTCAAAACAGGTGGGCTCGAGTCCCTCTTCCAGACAGCTCTTAATGGCGCCCAATCCACTGACTCCAGCACCAATCACCGCAATTCTTTTTCCAGGCATTGTGTCTTGTATCAGGAAACTTATTCAGATAAAAACAAATTTTTATTGCTATGTATTTTTCCTGTAATCCAAGAGCATTAGTTTTTATTTCCCCTCAAATTGCTAGTTAATGCATTTAAGGAATGTCTTATTCAAAGGTGTTATGCCTTTTAATGGCTCTTATGGCGACAGAAAATCCTACCTCACACAATGACCTCTCATTTACAAGTATAAAGTAGACTGTTTTAAATAAAGGCTTTGACTCCTAAGATGTCCCTGACCATATGACTTCATTTTTACATTTTTTGATAGCTTCCTCCTGCCTGTTATATTCATGCACACACATGCACATGCACACACACCCTGAGAAACCTCTCTATACAAAGATTTTGTCCAAGCTAACTTTTAATTCTTTCACTACTGCTATCTGCTTGTTGATGAAACACTCATGTTGGGTAATTTTGCACAGTTTATTCAGGCCAGAAAATCCCTCCTCCTGCTCCATGATAGGGTTTAAGGGGAGGAGGAGGGAACCCCAACAGAGCATTTTATCAAGGATCACTCATCATACTCCTCTTGGGGCAGCATACAGACCATGTAAGTGGTCTTTGGAAAATTGGTCTAACTGCCTTCATACTCTGGTGCTGATATTCTGCTACTCCTTCATTTAATAAATATTTTTGGGGTAGGCATTAAGTGCCAGACCCTGCTTCAGTGGGGTAGATACAGCAGTGAACAAATCAGATGTGACTTCTTTAGAACATCCTAATGGCGTGGAGAGAGACTAAACAAAGAAGCAAATAAATAATAAGCCAGATGATGATATTTGCTATGGAGAAAAAGGAAGCAGGGTAGAGGTATAGATAATACAAGAGAGAGGGTATTATTTTACATAATACAATCAGAGAAGGGCTCACTGCTGACATTTAAGCAGGGAGTAAGGGACCAAGCCA